GAGAAAGGGCAATTCTGTAGAACAGTCATACTTAACTCCAAACTTTATTTCTATCACCACAGACATTCCCAGATCTGCCAAGTATTTCCAGCACTTACTGCTTTTATTTGAGAATGCTCCAGCTTTAATTTTGTTGATAAGTTCTGGACATCCTAACTTGGGACATAGTTCCTTCCTACACGCTTTACCAACTTTAAAATTACCTTAAAAGAAAATTAGAATAAGTCTAAATATTAAAAATAAGCTGTAACACCTGAATAAAACCATAGCTGAAGTTATTCCGCAGTACAATCAACAAATGCTTTAAAATTTAGAAAACAGTTATGCAACATTACTTATATAAGAGTATCCACGTACTCATATATACATAGTGTGCTCACAAATAATAATTGGATTTGAATTTCCTCAAGACATTATAAGTAATGTCAAAATCCTAACAGCATTCTAGCTTTGTTTTTCCCCCCAACTAACCCATTGTAATGCAAGTCAATAGCATTCAACTACCAGAACATTTTCCATCAGTTGCTTTTCAGTCGTCTCTCTCCAAAGACACTGCAACTCTATAGTCCCATATGGCTATGCAACTTTAGTTTTTATAAACAATCATAAAACTGGCACTGAAAAAGACAAGATACAATCTCAAATACGTTTTTATGTCAATTCATTCCTAATAGGTTTGTATAGCACCAATGACAATCTCACATAACCCAGATCCTACAGTCATTTGTTATCATTATTCCTTAAATCAGTCTTCAAATGACATCAAGGCAGGAAAAGTTTGTTCAGCAGAATCAATTAATTCACAACCTGTTCTAATTCTCTTTCTCAAGCTACTATTCACCTGCTCCATGATAACAAAGTGGTTGAAGTTCAGTCTTCTGAGCTGCAAAACTGTGGTTCACTTCAGTAGTTCTTGATCAAGAATTGTTGCTGCCTGATATCTTTGTGTGACCTAAAGTACAGAACCTTCACTTCATAAGCCTCACCCCATTTTCTGCATTCATAAGTGGGCAATAATTTTTTAGAAATTTCGTATGAGAAAATGACACAAGAGGATTGATTATGTTGTGACTGATAAGAAAGGAGGTACTTTCTCAAAATCTTTCCAATAGTCCCTCCACATATCGCC